ATGCATTAACCAGGCACGCTGTATCTCAAGAAGCTAAAATGAAAATCAATTCATAAATAAGGAATGACATTGTCCTCACAAACAAGGCAGAAAATTGCAAGAGGTAGTTAGAAGTCTCTCAACATTAAATAATATTGATTTTCCACCTCTTTGTTCACACCTTCAGTTTAATATTAGATTACTTAAAAAGCCACCCCCTCAAGGTGAATTATGCATTTCAATACAACACAGTCAGGTTAAAAAACCACAGTCAATTCATATGACAGATGTCTAAATGCTACAGTACTGTCTAAACAAAAAAAATGATGTAGCCCAATTACTATGGTTGAGACCACTTATTTTATTTTCAATCATATACCAAGTACTGTCAAGGCCAATACACAAGGTCAATATTTCTAATGTTTCTGAGGATAAAATTAGTGATTATAGACATTAAACATTACATTTCATAGCCATCGTTATTAAAATTATATAGGCCATTATTTTACATAATAATTAACCTGATCAATGTTTTAACAATTTTTAATTAAATACATTTATAAACGTCAAACAAATACATTATATTAACAGTCAGTCACATATAGCTTGCACATACAGTGGGTACGGAAAGTATTCAGACCCTCTTAAATTTTTCACTCTTTGTTATATTGCAGCCATTTGCTAAAATCATTTAAGTTACTTTTTTTTCCTCATTAATGTACACACAGCACCCCATATTGACAGAAAAACACAGAATCGTTGATAAGGGGGTCTGAATACTTTCCGTACCCACTGTATATAAGATTGCTTCACTCATCCCTACTAATTACTATTCAGTTTACTTTTTTGTCACTAAATTACTTTACAAAGTAGGATTTAGGTTTGAGCAGATTATTTGCCATACAATTGCTAACATTAAACATTTCTATACAGTTCATTATAATAAACTGTTGTGCTACAAAGTTATTTCATTGAATATAATGAAGCAGAAATGTTTTTTGAAAATTATACAGCCCCCCAGTATTGATGATTTATCAGTCCTCAATGTTTTGTTCCATCATTTGAAATACTCTTTGCTCAGCCTGACCAATAAAGTCCTGGAAACTAACAAAGTCACTAAAATGATCTATAGATTGCTTCAGCACAGATAATTAGCGCCTTACTCAATCATAGAGTCGAGTTGGAGACGTTTTTAATGCAGCATGGCAGCGTGATTAGCTGAGGTTCAGCTTTAGAATGATCTCTGACGTGTGCCTGGTGTTCCTCACACACGTCCATTCACTTATTGGCAGGATTTCCAAAACACAGAACTGTGCATCATCTGGTCAGAAATGTAGTAAAGGGACATGTTTGAGTGGGTAAGGCTAAAGCTATGTGTGATTGCTTCACAGGGGGAAATCCAAAGACTTATTTCTTCACTACATCCTTAGCTTATTGATTTTATGACATTGTTTCTTCAAGATTACACATCAGTGAAAAAATATAGCTGGTCTGATTCATTTCCCAGCCTTCAGTCTGGCACTGTGATAGTCTCACACTTACAACAATGCCTAATAGAGCATTTATTTTCATTTGCGGTCACAAATTCTGCTTTTGAAAGCATTGTAAAAATTTTGTAAAACAGCGAAGCACCTGCGACCACACTACAAAATGAAATCTATATTGTGCACCAAGTTGCTATGATGCTTAGCAACTGTAAACAACCTACCACAAAGCTAATGGACTATATTACCCATCAGAAGAATTTTTTATTGTGCTTATTACTAAATATAATCATTTATTGAACATAGATGTTTTTTTATCATACCACTGTTCTGCAATTACATAAAAGCAACAGGCCACTTGAGACCTATGTGTAAGTGATTTTTACCACATAACATTAAATAAAAAAATATAAATACAAAAATTAAGGTTTTACAATTTAAAAGTTTATTTAAATTCTAGCTTTAAAAAAAACTGTCACTATGACATAAGCACTGCATTCAGTACTTTGACGAATAAGTCTTGTTTTGCTTAACATCATGCTGGAATTACCCTTTATTAGCCCAGTTTGTCTGCAAAAAAAAATAAAAAATGGACCAACTGTATTGTACAGTAACAAAGAGCACATGCTTGTATTATGTTAGGGGCATCATGATAAATTTAAGCCTGTGTTTTCCCTCTCTTTTTCTTTCCCCTGGTCTCCAACGTCCTACACAATCAATCAGCGCCCCCTCCCTTATTTCCCTGTCTGCTTTATTTCGGATCACTGAATGTAAATCCTTGACAAGGGTATCTATATATAATATTAATGTGCGCTGTGGAGGGTTCCCTGTGAACAGAGAGCTGACTGCCAAATAAAGAGTGATCAGAGGCAGGTTACCCATCCTCCCTGGTCCTCTGTAACTCTCACCCCCAGGATGGATGGGGCATCATTAGGCAAAGGAGCTCGGCCATTCTCCACAGAAACGGCCAAGTCGGAGGTATCCATCAATCTAGCTGCACCCGCGCTCCCTCAGATACTGTCAGCATAGCGTTAGGTACGGAGGGGCCCGTGTTGGTGTTTGAAGACCCTCTGTGTCACCTGCAGCCTGTCTCATCTGCAGGCATCTGGGGTGGCCGCCGCCGAGCTCTCCTACGACGCTCACTCCCCCTAATTTATTTACTGCAGGAATTGGCCACCAAGGAGAAAACGGACAGGGAAGGAGAAAACAAAAATGTTGCCATCTACCCACCAGCGAAGTGGCCTACGGCTTGGGCTTCGCTACAGGGGACAGCTCAATCCCTGAGCGGCTAAAGTAACCGGCTCAATCCCTGAGCGGCTAAAGTAACCTTTGCTATGCCAGCAGAATAGTTGTTACTTAAACCAAATTCTTATGGGCATATAAATCCACATCACTTTTTTGCGGGAGACTCACACAACAGATGCATACTCGGAACATTCGAGGAGCACCGGAGGAGCAACAACGATCATGCAGTGTTATTTTCAACACTTGTTTTGGACATAATTATACATGAAAGTATAATTTACATGAAAATCATAGTTTGATGAAAGTATGTTTTATAATTAGTGAATATTTTGTGACATCATATTCATTAATTTTACTAAATCTAAAAATGGCATTTAATTTGTCAAAAATAACAGAATATTTATATTTTATATATTTGTAAATAATATATAATATAGTAAATATAGTAAATAATATTTTAGTTGATGAGCTAAATTTTAAAACAAACATTTAAAAAAGGAAAATGACAACACAGTGTTAACGACGTTAACACTGTGAAAAATATTACATTTAAAAAAAACATTATTATTAACATTACATAGGCACAGAAGACACAAGGTCCTTCCAAAACATCTTTAAATAGTTCTAGGAAAATAGACGAAAAAAAAAATCTTCCACATTCTGAAGATAATATCAAACCCAAGAACAAAGCCTGTTGGGTAAGGATTGTATCTAATTGATTTCACTGTTTGTTATGTTAATGTAATAGAGAAAACAGTGGGATATTTAAATCAAAAGGGAGAGCTGTCAGGCCAGGTGCAAAGAGGAGAACACAATGATACTGAATTCTGCGTCAGGCTATTGGTAATCAATTGGAATGGAGCGAGGATTGAAAAACTGTCTGCTTTGCAATTGTGCTCAGTTTGAGCAACAATTTGAAAATAACAGTGAGAAAAAAGAGATTGTGACAAAGTCAATATGGAGAGCCACTTGAAGGACAAATGAGAGAATTGCAAAGTACCCGGGTCTTTGTTACCTTGTCTGGCTGGATGTACGTGGCAGCGGCATTTAGAAGAGCTGAATGGAGCTTTCAAAGAGCAACACAATCAAAAGCCAATAATGCAACAGCTGAACAGAGACACATGAATATTCTAATGCAACCACTGTGTTGTACCGCAGTAAATCAAATGCCCGAGGGCATGAGCTAAGTGAATATTTCTCATGCATTTTCAATATTACTGAAATATTAATGAATGATATGAATGAACTAAATGAATGTTAAATAAGAAAATCCCTCCCTGGACCTGCTTTACAATCAAATTTAAAAGCAGAGCCCTGTGTCAGCTGTAGTAACATCATTAATATTATGGATGTGTCTGTAATCATTTCATCAAAGTACTGGAGCTCTGCATTTCTCTCCACACAGCATTACTGTTTCAAACTGAAAAAATGACAAATGATTTATCACATTTTGTACATTTTGCAAATTCATCACACTGATACAGTGTCATACTGGTACGGCTACGTTTTACATTATTTAGGATAAATGGATGGGTAACTTTCTCAGAGGAAAGTATTAAAAGTGGACAATATTAATAAATATGATTCGAATTTGTTCTTGAACCATGCTTATTAAATTTTGTTTACAGTAAGTCATTTGGGAGGGAAGGTTCATCATGTTTAAAAAAAAAAATAAAAAAATATGCAAGACTTTGCTAAAGGCATAGTTCACCCAGAAAATAACATTTTGTCATCTACTCACTCTCATATCACTCCAAACCTATGTTTTTTTTTCTTCTAGAAAACACAGAAAATTACCATAAAAGTATTTTTTGAAGTAAGCTTTAATGTGTGTTTTATATGTTAAATAAAGCAAATGAATCTAAATATTTACAGTTTGCTAAATTGTATCATTGTAAATAAATTATTCAATTATTCAAGCCACGGTGCATGCTGGGAATACCAACATCATCAAGTTATATATGTCAATTAACTTTAAGCATTTGAAATGTACTTATATCTGTCTATCTACATAATAATTTAATTATTTACTTTTAGAATTGATTGCAAATATAGCATATGCTTAATATTCCCATTCCTTTTTTTATTCACTTTCACTGTGTGTGTGTGTGTATAGATTATATAAATTTAAAAATAAATAAATATAGAGTAGCAAGAAATCTAAAATTTTCTATTTGTTGTTCATAGGAGTAACACAGTCATACAGGTTTAGAACATGTTTGGAACAGGTTTGGACATGAGGGTAAGTAAATGATGACACAATGTTAATTTTTTGTTGAAATATCCCTTTAATATTTTGTTGAGTTTTCAGGACAAACGTCTCTTGTGTAGTGGAGTCTTATGGTAATACTCTGTTCTCTTGCTGCCATCTTTTGTCTGGTTCTATAGCTTACTCATGCTTTCTCCCTCTCATCTTTCGTACTCACCCTCCCCACCATCCTGTCTGCCAAAGGAGTTTTTCCAAGGAGAACTTTTAGGGAGGGGATGAGGAGAAAGGGGTTTATAGGAGCTGGAGTTGAGGGAGGGGGAGAGCGTTCTTAGTATCTGACTTGTTAGTCCACAACTGTCCAATTTGTTGAGGGTGGTGGGTTTGATTAAAGCAGGGGTCCCTCCTGCTGCTCGCCCCTCCCATCAATCACATTGATAAGTCCCAGAAAGGCAACATATTGCCTGGGAGGAGGACGGGGAGGGATATCAATTTCACTGTCGTGCTGTTCTCTCCCCACCCAAAACATCTCGCACCGTTTTGGTAGAAGTGCAGACCACCAAGGAGGAGGTGAAGGGGAGAGAGGATGTAGCAGTTCTGCTGGGGTTTGAAGGGGCAGCCAGGGCTCTGGGGATTGGGAAGGGGGCAGGTTTGCAGTTAGAAAGGCTGGTCAGGGTCAGTCGAAGTTTGTTAATGTCTTTTTCTTTTTTTCCCCCTTTTCAGGTTAAATATGGTAGGCTGTAATACTGGACTTATTTGTGCTGACGCTGTTTGCCGAACGCCGCATGAGGCTATACGGGCTTTCTTCCCCCATTGTGCTGAAATACATATGAACCGCTTCCCCTGTCTTGTTAGCAACATCTATGGCATTAAACCAACTGTCAATCAATAGCTGTACAAAGGTGTGGATGGCAGGCCAAGGTGAAGGTCATGATGACTGGCTCAGCTCTAAGGAGAGAAATAAATGCATGTCCACAATGTCATAATAGCTGTTTTTCTAATGAACTTAAATTACTTAGTCAACTTAGTCATAATCACCCTCCTTTACCAACACGCAATATTGTCACAAAGAGATCTTTAGCCATACACTTACATTAGTGATTGACTGAAAATACATTATACACATTCTTTCTGTATACAGGAAAACATTAAAAGCAGAGCTTGATTCAATATTAAATGTTTTCCATACCTTATAGTAAATCAATGCTATATATTATGCAGAACCAAAGCAAACAAACAAACTTAATAAATAAATATTGAAACATTTAAATATAACTCAAAAAATATTGGTAACAATTCACAATAAGACAATAAATAATTGTCTTCACTTATAATTAACAATGAAAAATACTTAATGTTAATTTCAAAATGTACTAATACATTATTAATATCAAAAATTGTATATGTTAATATTATTTAATGGACCTGAGCTAATGTGAGCTAACAATGAACAGTTGTATTTTTAGCTGTTATATGTTAAAGATTAATAAACTGTAACAAATGTATTGCTCATTGTTATTTATGTTATTAACTAACGGGACATTATTGTAAAGTGTTACCATTATATTTAAAATTAATATTAAATAATTATAAATTTAAATATAAAGGTAAATCAATTAAGAAGAGACATTGTTATTTGAAATTATATTTTGTTAATTTCACGTTTTGAGTTAATAAATGTATCTTTCATCAGGACTCTAAAACTCTTAATTACCTGTTATTTACTATAATTACCAAATTACAATAAATGTTTTTAGCATTAGTAGAGCTACAAATTTGGACTGCTTTTAATTAATTTATTTAGAATTGTCATTTCTTTTGTTGTTTTATCCTGCATAAGCTTGAACTGACATCTTATGTGAAATGACAACATCTGTCTTTTTCTTTGATAATCTTTTTGTATCTCAATTAGACTTTGCTAAAAGTGCACTCGATTCTGCGTGGACCTCAATCAATTCTTTTTCATCTCCCCAAGCTGTCGTCAAACATAACAAGATCACAGCAGGAAGTTCATGTCACCAACTTCCCCCCTGAACATGATAACTTCATCTGCCTCTAGATTTCTCCGCCAAATCTCCCATCCTGTCACATTCACACACTCAGTCACGTACAACCGTTACCAGCATTTGCTTTCCACCTAATGGAATCAAATACTGCAAAAACCCCAAACGTCAGCACTTTTCATCACTTTGCATGGCCATTTTATTGTCCTTCTCTGTGCCTTTTGAATGATAATGATACAAATTACAGTTTGGCTATATTAATAACTAAACCCGAAAGCAGAGAAAGACAGAAGAGAGGAAGAGGGGAAAAAAGGTGTCTGCCTTTTCACCGTTGCTAAGTGCTAACGTGGGATTTCCTGGGCCCATTGTCATGTCAACTGGACTGGCAGCTATTCCATGGTGATGATAATGGATTCGGTGTTGTTGGCTCAGAGGTCACGAGGTCAACATAAGCTCCTTAATGGACTGTGAAATAACTCTAACTGCATTAACCTCCCCAGATCACATGGTGGGGAAAACACTCACTCTCCTCAAATCAGAGGCCTTTATAGGCACCACGCGATTGGATTGAATTTTAATTGGCAAGGCGTACACCTGGCAGCAGTGCAGAGAATATTTTAATCTTTCAGAAAGGTGAGATAGGGAAAGATGGTAAACAGACAGCGGTAACGGCTGACGGGATTGTGAGGGTTAGAGCTAGAATATGGAAGGTCAGTGTGGCTTGCCTTTAACAAAAATTGCTTTTCACTTGTGCGTGTTTGCATTTTCATTGCTTCATTGTGTTTGCATGCTTGAACCAGTGGGCATCTGTGCTCACATCCCAGAGTGGGCTTCCCTGGAGACGCAAGCCAGGAGGGGCGTCACGTCCTCACGTTTAGCAATGGGAAATGAAAGATTAAATCACTGTGATTAGTGAGGCTTGGAATTTGGTAGCTTGACATCACCAATCATTAGGCTGAAGGAAAAATGATCATAAATTCCATTCATTACGGAAAAAGAATACATTTTTAGACAAATAAAATTCAGTGAGTTACTAGCGATTTAATGCCATTTCTAACATTTTAAACTGAGCTATTTGTCTTGCATTGTAAATATATGGGGTTATATTGATTAAAATCACTTGCAGTACTAACCAACTTGTAAGCCATTACGGACTGCACTTGTAGTAATAATTTTAAAGGACATCGTTAAATCTTATTGACTTAAGTGTGCATCTCAAACAAGATGCACACAAGAGAAAAAAAACAATAACTTACTCCCTTTTCCAATAAATATTTATGAAAGAATTCTGTTAGATAATACATTAAAACTGTCTAAACGTGTTTGCATTTTCATTGCTTCATTGTGTTTGCATGCTTGAACCAGTGGGCATCTGTGCTCACATCCCAGAGTGGGCTTCCCTGGAGACGCAAGCCAGGAGGGGCGTCACGTCCTCACGTTTAGCAATGGGAAATGAAAGATTAAATCACTGTGATTAGTGAGGCTTGGAATTTGGTAGCTTGACATCACCAATCATTAGGCTGAAGGAAAAATGATCATAAATTCCATTCATTACGGAAAAAGAATACATTTTTAGACAAATAAAATTCAGTGAGTTACTAGCGATTTAATGCCATTTCTAACATTTTAAACTGAGCTATTTGTCTTGCATTGTAAATATATGGGGTTATATTGATTAAAATCACTTGCAGTACTAACCAACTTGTAAGCCATTACGGACTGCACTTGTAGTAATAATTTTAAAGGACATCGTTAAATCTTATTGACTTAAGTGTGCATCTCAAACAAGATGCACACAAGAGAAAAAAAACAATAACTTACTCCCTTTTCCAATAAATATTTATGAAAGAATTCTGTTAGATAATACATTAAAACTGTCTAAAACATTTTACCTTGCCTCCTTCATATATTTTTAAACTATGATAATCCATCACAGACGTATTAAATGCTATAATAACCTAAACAAAAACTGAATTAAACTAGGACAATTTTTACACAAAATATAACTGTCCTTCAGTTGTAACACCATTTCCATCACAACCAACAAGTTTGCCCCAATAAAGTTACTATCAATATTTGAGATGAAACCGTTGTTATAAAAAAAAATTAAAAATCTAATTTAAATTATTCTAAATTCTATTACAAATTATGAACAGAATGCTTTTGTTGTATAATTTCTTTAATTTGGTCCCACTGTTCAAAAACATGTAAAACATATTATTATGTGAATTTAGGATACATAAAATGCCATCTATGAAATTTGCCAGACAAAAGTCTATTTTAATTCAAAAATATAATTTCCACCACCATCATTTAATCACGGTATGCAATTAACCACAAACATTATTTGAGATGTGTTGGAAATGTTCATTACAGTTTTAAGTTCAACTGTGATATATTTAGGCCTACTAATAAAAATTCAACTTTTAAAAGTGTGTTTTAAGAGAGTTTATTTTCTAAAATTCCACATTGCCAAAAGTGCCCACACTTGAAGAACCAAATCCAAATATGAAGTATTAAGCTGAGACAGGGCTCTGGAAAGGCATAATACACTCTGTATGTCTTTACCGTCAGTATCAAGCCACCTCAGCTAGGAAATGAGGGCATGCTTCAGGAGAACTCAAAGTGCCTCCACCCTCCTCCAGAGCAAATTGCAGGTGGCGAAATGAGGTGCTGAACTTCATAACGCTGATGGAGCATGTTCCGTGTGAATATAGGATAAACATCAATTAATTTCAGTCAATAAATAACGCTTTGAGGTCTTGCGTCAAAAAAGCCGAACAATTACTTTTCCATTTTTCTTGCCAAATGGGCTGATGAGGGAAAACAGGAGATCTGGCCGTGTAAATCAGTCTTAATTTTGCCTTCCCCATTAAAAAGCCGCCATTAAGACCCTCCTCGCCTCATTTCATCTTCTTCTTGTTTCACTTTTTCAATTTGTGCGAAAGGGGGAGTTCACTCATCATAAAATTTCACTTTGGCTGGCCTATCATTTGCATCTGAGCCAATAAATAGCAATTAGCATTAACAATTAAACCAGAGAGTGGAACCAATGCCCGCTCCCTAGGAAAGCTGATGAATGGCAACGAGGAAGCTTTTTTCAAAGGGAGCTGGGGGACATTAGCTTCCGTGGCCTTCCCGTAAAACCACACGCTCCAGGAAAGGAGTACATCCCGGGCTAAATGCTGATTTATTTGGCTTTACAACAGCCCGACACATCTCCCGTGGGGTCGAGAGGACGGCGTGCACGTCTGTGGGTGGCATATTTGTGTGAGGGAAAGATTACGTGGAATTTCAATCCAATCTGCCACCGTGACTTCCCGCTAAAGTACATAAGTGTTATGTGGCGCATTTAGCTGTAGAGAAATCACATTTTATCCTCACGTCTAGGTGAGGTGGAGTTTTGCCCTTGCACATCGCAAACATACGTTTCCTAGGAACCTAGACTATAACTGTCTCAGCTGTACTTTTCTCAGAAATAACCGGGGAGCGACACCTCATGCAGTGTATTATCCGCGGGTGGCATATGGGTCTGTTTAGCCTGGTGTAATATGAAAGCACATTTTTATTGTTTCATTTTAGTGACCCATTTTATTCCCTCTCAGCAGGACATGAAAATAAAGTGCAGGTTTGAGAGAAACTGAGAATAACCTCTAATAATAAGATTCAGACACTCTCTAATGATTCAAACACAGCACCTCTGAGACGTGTGACGAGAAATAGCGTTGGTTAATGGCATGATGACTTACTGCACGAGACCCCTCCTCTACAGTCTCGTATGCCTGGCTTTATGTACACAGTGGGTACACCGTTCAACTCTGCTGAAAAGGAGATCATACTGTCCGTGCCTTATGATTGCTTTCGCTTGCATTAATCATCCAGTAAAGAACTGACACAGCAGTATGGGTGCCCTGCCTAACAAACCATAGGCTAAGGACAGTGACA